GAACGCACTGAACACTACGATGTTCTTCCACAAAGAGCCATTATTGCAACTGAGGTATACCGTGATTGGTAGATTGGAAACAGCTCGCCATTCATCTAGTAGTAACAAAATAGAAAAAAATCTACACGCACTACCTTTCTCGACCATAACGCAAAACACGAGGTCGACAAAGTAGACTTATCCGGCTAACGTTTCGAAGTCTGTTTTCTTTAGTTATCTAGAAGCAGTTAACACTACATACACGCTTGAATTCCGCTCTCTTAAAAACTGTTTGACTGCGAATGCAAGACTCCAATTCACCCGCCGTACACAAACCATATATCTAAACACCCTTAATTCGCCTCTTTCAAACCGATGAATCCGAAACAATGTAGGGTTAATTAACTGAAGCAGCCTGTGCTGATTGAAATTTTCTTTTGAAGCTGTCCGAATCCGAACAAATAATAGTTCCCGGAAGTTGTCACTTCGTAACAAAACCTCCATGGTGGTCAAATATCTCACTTTACAACCACAATGACGCTAAGATATTTGCAAAACCTCGGACCGCAGGTGTCTGCGGTGGGGAACGAAAGCGCTATTACTCTTTCCAGGGGGCTAACGTGTTCATCACCACACCATGAGGGTCCTTCGTTTCGTCTGTTTTTGAGCTAGTTTTCTATTGATCAGTGCCATCAGCAACCACCATCAACATGATCGATCTAGGGAGCTCAAATCGTCAATGAATCCCAGTTAAGCTGAGGCTGCGTACCTCATTCCACTACCCTCACTTTAGTTCTGCTACACCTTCCACGAGGAGGAAAGACTGGAATGTTTGTCCACCCTCTTTCCCTCAACGACACATGCAAAGTCATAACAAAAAGAGTTCATTGAGAGTGAAACGGTACGGGTGTGAAAAATTATTCACAAGAAATGACTAGAACTGCATTTATAGATGTCGCGAAATCGAAAACTAAACCGGAATAATAGAAAATAATAGTGAAAAGTAAAACGATGAACAACGAAAATAAAGAGAAAATACTTGTGGGAGTGACCGGTGTTTATCTTACACATACAAGCTAAGATCATTTATAGAATTTCTTTCTTTCCCTCTCTCCCTAAATTGCTGCCAATCAACAAGAGCAAGAGCTCTAAGGCCAAGAGCACTCACTTCAAGATGAGGAAAAAGGAGCGAAGCCAGAAATAACGAGAAACATAAAAAGCGACTAAAAAAACAGCACAAAGATGAAAATGAACCGACGAGCTGAGATGCGGCGACTTACGAATGCTCGCGGATGTGAACAGAGTCACAGTGAAGACAGATGAACACACTATCAGATTATCGACACACAAACACTAAACAAACAACTACAAAAATAGAAAGCTATATGAGAAAATTCTAGAAAATACTCGGTTGTAGTAGCGGTAGAGAAAGGCATTAAAAATCTGATCGACCAGCAGAGAATGTAATAAGGAAAAGTTGGCGTGAAGTTCCAAGTTAAGCGCTAACACGTCCAAAATTACGGCAAGTAGACCGTTGATATTCATCATAAGAATAACTGAGATAATTTGGCAGGACCGAGTTCTTTGGGGTCTGATCGAAGCCAAAAAAATATGCAAGAAAACGAAGACGACAACGATAGAGAAAACGCTTCCGATATTCTTTCTCTCATCTTCTCTACACAATTTTCTAACAGAACTTCTACACTTAAAGCAAGAGCAGTTAATTAAAACAAATTCGATGATCTAACACAGACCGGACGTAGCCGTTTTATTTGTGTTTGTTGCCCGTATCATCGGTATCGTGAATCGCGTACAGTAAGATCGTTGTGAATTACCTGAAAGTCAGAGAAAAAATCGATAGGAACCTTTCGAAATCCAAACTTTGGAATAGAAGATAAAGCATAAAGCTTTCGGTGTTTATTAATCCCTGAGGGATGCTACATGAACTATTTACCTCACTTCATCGCAGTTAACGAAGGTAACATTCGCTATTTACTGAACACCTATTAGCTTTGTGAGATTTAAGAAGGTTTAAGAAATGAACTAAATTTTCAACCACATTTCCCGATTTTAAATCGGAACTGTGGGTTGTTAAACAAAGCTACTTGCTCCAAGTACAAATCTCCAACGTATTTAAACAAATTCCCTCCTATTTTCACATATTCAAAACGATTTTTATGTAGATTTCGTCCTAAACATTAAATGATCTTTATCAGTAACCATTTTAGAGACATTAGAGTTGATTCTAACAGTTTGCACTGGTCAAATTTGAGACTGATCGCATCCATCAGTCACACTCCATTGCCTCGTCTTCTTTGGTCTCTCGGTAGGACAGATAAGGATTGAAGTTTAATGGCGCCGATGTTGAACCGGACTGTGGAGTTGTCCTTTCCTGGATACTGTACTGACCTAAAAACCAGAAGTTATTTCAAATAACCACGTTTTTAAATTGTATCTGCTTTTTTCTTCATATCTAAACATTTGTGGAACGGCTATCAAGATCAAACTAATTCACTTCAATAAAAAAGTTTTTTAAAGCTCAGGTTTACTATACATCTAGCCCGAAACGTCATAACAAATTTATAAATCACTAAAATGAGTGTGAGACTAAACCAAACTCTTGAAAAACGTTCAGTCATCGCTCAGTAAACTCCAGATATCTTCAAAGTCAAAACACTGCTGTAATTATCAGCTTTCGTTATTAATTCCTCCCAACGGTTTACCGCCTAATCGTGGCTGGGAGGTGTTCCTGAGCGTCGGGCTGCGATATACAGCGGGGGAATCCATCCCACTGCCAGGGTCTCCAAACTGAGAAGCAGTCCGGCGTTTCCATAAAGAAGCCCAGCTAAGAAGAAATCAATGCCGGAATCCACCACCGTTTTGGTACCAAACTGGTCGCGTGGTGGCTAATCTCCTTCTGGGTTGAGAGTGGTGGTGACGACCTGAAGCAGACTTTGGCCGGGCTCACCTCGGAACTCCAAGGAACCACAACGGCTTAACCAGCAAATCTCCGAAAAATGGTGATTATGCTGGGACCCGCATAACCAATGAGAACGTGCCATTCAAGTATCAAGTAAGTAATAAATCTATCTGATATTCGTTAACACAATACTTGAATGACCCACCTTAACTAAGAAAGGTACGAATCCCAATGAAATCTCTATTTGGTTACTAAGCTGATGAAAGCGGGAGAAAGTTTTTCCCTGATGTGGAAAAACGGTACCAAATCTGTCCGAAGTCGTTACTACGAACCACGTGGATGATCAGAATAAACCTTATCTACTTAAGAACAGTGCCTCCTAAGATCACTGCAATTCTGTTAATTGGTTACTCTTAGCGGTACTTCCGGATGAGAATGTAGAACTTCCCATCAGCCTGGGTGAAACGAAGGTGGACTCGCTGCTATACATCACATCTTGACATCCACGAAGATTACTCGTTATAGAGAAGCATTAAACTATCCCCGGTCAATCTTGTTATGTTTAGTCTTTTATTTTCAAACCTATTTCTCGGAGAAAAACAACTGCGAATTTAAAATGAGGTGCAACATAGAGTCGCTTTATCACTTTTTGCTGTTATAAAACATCTAAAATCTCAATAAAAAGAATGAAAATTCTCATCAACAGGCTTACAGATAACGGTCTCATCTTCTTCTGCCACATAATCCTGAGAGTAATCCTCACTTCGAGATACGGATGAATGTGAGTCGGATGAACCAAGTGAACTTCTAAAAGAATAAAATGAGTGAGAAAGCAGAACTAAAGAAATCCTGTAGGAATTAAGCAAAAGTTGCACTAAATAAGGAACGAATTGTAAAACGCAATAAATAAGTGATGGCCTTCGCTAACATAAACCAAAACTACAGAGGTTGCGCATGAGTTCGCGTGGTGGTCTCGTTGTGATGGATAGATAGATAGTTAAATATGGACGAAAAGCAACTATGTGAATATTAAAATTCCACTAATACTGCTTTTGAGAAGGAACTCCGGCCTTTCCTTAATCACAAGCTCACGTAACACGTTCCTAGAAGGTAGGATAGAGAATCTAGGTTGTCAAATAACCCAAGGTAAGTCCAGCGGACGAGACTATCGTTGTTAACATTAGATCACTTTACCTTTGAACTATTTATAAGGGATACAGGACAAAGCACACGAGTTGATTAATCACTCAGGAATTCGCCAACTCCGAAGCATCGTATCTATCACTAAATGCATATTTGGCCTATAAAATGACTTCAGAGGGCCTAATGTATCAAATCAAATGTATCAATATGTCCTAACTTTCACTTGCTGTTTTTTCACACCATGGTACAATGTAAAATACAACCACAAGAGGACGCCGAAACATGAACAAAACTCGGAACCTTAGTTGAGCTTCGAACCCGTGATTACCCTTGCTGAGGGCAGCTTACCAGTTGATGGGTGATTGCTGATAGTATAGACAGAATAAAAACAAGGCTGAGAAGAAGGCAGAGCAAGGGTTACGGTTAATATGGTGGATAGAATGTGAGGCCACGGTAGGGGTAATCGCAAGTTCGAAGACCATCTGAGGTCCAGAGTTTTCCTCATTCCAGCAGTCTTGTGGTTATGAGATCAGTGCTTTTAACTTCTAGATAATTCTGGTGTTAATATATCGACCCGAAGAGATGAAAGCTTGGTGGGCTAGCAGCATTTGATCGAACCAACGACTCTGAGAGCATTGAAAAACATTTTTAACCACTGCGCAACACATGTATGCATTCATATACATGCCGATATTCATGTGTAGTTGGTGATTGCATGGATAGAAACTGTAATTGTGCGCAGTGTTGCTCGTTCGTTTTAGGCGAACTGACACCCAGAATTACAGATCTAGCGCGCTTGGGAAACGTAAAAAAAATCGTTGCCCCTTAGTAATCCACCTACTATTTCCTATTAATTTTTGTTTACTTTTAGATAACCCAACACCAACCATTGTGCGGATCCTAGAACTTTCTTCGTTTGGTTCCTTTCTTCGCAGCTAACATTCAGAATAGCCCAGATTTACGTGTGAGTTCGGCTGCTACTTGAAAACTTTGCCTTCTTCAAAAAAGGTCTTGAATCCTTGCTGAGTAAATTCTCCCTGGTGTCCTGGGATACCCGTGCTAAAACATTCCTGAGTTTTCCCAACATGCAGGCACCAGCCTTTGTGGAGCGGAGTGATCTCATGTCAGCGAAGTTATGTGAGACATGGCACGGTTGGTCCAGCGCTCTGTCGAACCTTGCTCTTGCGCACTGTATGACTATCTCTATCAACATGCTACTTTGACAACCATAAGTTTTCATAATAGAGGTCAAAAGCCGATAAACGGAAAAAAAAGTTGAAGTGTTGCGAAACCTTTGGACATCATCATCTCCGAATCGCATTGGAGTTTGTCGAGCTGATGGCGGCAGTGAAACAGATGTGCCGGAACTAAAAACACTTAATTTTGATAAGACTTTCCTACTATTTTCAAACGTTAAATTATTGGAAAAAAAAACGACAAGGCTTAATATCTACTTCCTAAGAAGCAACTAGACAAGGAAAATAAGAGCATGGAAAGTAATTAAAAAATGATAAGTTACGTCTTCTGGTAGTTAGTCAATGAGTTGCTGCGCTTCCTTTTCGACTGTAGTGTCATCAATACACGGCTTTGTCGTCGTGACATACCACTTGAATGCCGATAGAGCAGTGGTTGGGGACGATTTACCTGAAAGACTCCAAAATGTCTGGAAATCTCAGAAAAAAATTACTGTTCATTAAGAACCCCAGGCTTAAAAGAAGATTTAAAAGAACAGAAGATGAAGAAAAGAAGAAAAAGAACAGAATGCGGTGAGCTCGAGACTGTTTCACCGTTTGTGACTAATCATTTCACTAAGAACAATATTTTGTTACTTACAGAAACTGCTTGCCATTCACCTACTTTATTGCATATTTGGTCAAACATACCTATCTAAAAACAACGGCATTAAAAAAACCTATACTCGTTTGGAAATTAGGACAGGTATCGTCGAACATGGCTCTCATCAAAATGTCGTTTTCGGTGACTCAGTGAACTAATAATATTTATGTGCACATGTTCAAGCGAAGTACGACTCGACTATAAGAATTCCAGAGAACCAAGTATACACTCCGTTTTCCTTCCTCCTTTTGAATCGTCGCCTGTGGTGACAGTCCGTTTCATGCATGGTGACGTCAACCAGTACTCTGTGACCCCAAATTTTTCCCAGCTCAACTACAGTCTATTGCTGCATAGACTAGAAATACGTGCAAGCACTTTGCACGTGCGCAGTCTCCAGAACAGAGATCCTCTAGTTTATCCGGTTTGACAATGCCAACTACACCCCAGAAAAGGTTGTCTACGCGCTATGTAATGTTGTGAAAAACTCATGACATGGCTCAGGAGTGAACGAACATCTATTTACATATAAGAACTCTAGAGAGAGTGTTAAACTTTAAAAGTCAGCGCGGTTGCTTACACCAGTTAATCGCTGTCTTCTCATAGCACTAAATTTCACCAATATAGCGTCCTCTCTTCTATACAAATCCTCTATATATTAGTGAAAAACTCATGGAACGCCTTAGGAGCTCGTAGGATGTGACCTTTGTGATTACTGCAGCAACAATTTACATTTGTTAAGCATCACGCTACAGGCTCCCAATCAACTGCGTTCCCTTCCGATTTCGTGCATTCATGTCCTCTTCCCCGCTCCAAAGAGCTACTTAAGCTTCGCCTCTGGTTCAATTGCACTTCCCGAAAAAAAAGCATTGTCGTCTGAAAAAAGATGAATTGGTAGGAATTTTCCACTAACGCATGTGCCTTTTTCGATCCAATCGAGCGAATTTATTATGTCGCTCTGTCCTACTGCTTTTTCCAAGACATGGTGAGAAATCGACTCAAGAGCAGTATTTTCCTACAGCAGTTGCTGTAGAGTGGACTTTATGAGAAAGGAGGTGTCCTTTATGACCAGCTACACGCTGTGCGGAGGTGATCTTAACCAAAGTTAATCCGCTGTACTCGCAGCTGCATTTGTTTTACCTGTCACGGTATGAGACTCGCACGCACCACCATGCTCGAATAAAACCACCACCATGGATGACAACTGCGAGGGAAAGAAAGGAACGGTAAATGTGCTAAGGTCCGCACAACTCATGAAGACGAAGTGTTCAAGTAACCAAGTTGCGCTAGCATTCAGCCAGTTCTCTTGGGTATGACAGATACACAGATTGGTCGCAAGCCTCAAAAGAATTGCATTGGTTTCGGTTACTACCGTAAGCTTTTAGTAGCCGACAAAAGCTATAATAAGGCATAGACGGGACATAGGCTACACACCCGATAGATTTCTGCAACCATAACTATAGTGTGGATATGCTCCATAGATTGCTCAATCGCTTGAGCTTCATATAAAGTTCTTGGTACGCGCGATCGGATTATTTATTCCATTAAGAAAACATGCAACAAACAAAACAGATAGTAATTTCAATGATCCTCTCGACCATCCTTCGTAGGAACAATAATGGCGCGAGACATTTTCTACTGTTTGGAGAACCTTGATCTTGATGGATATGCTTTCACGGGAAGTGCTAGCGTTAGCATTAGTTCGTGAAGGAATTCGGCCACAATGCTGTAGACCAGCCTGGAGTCGTCTTTTCCTTTGGTTTTATCGCGCGACGGTAAAGGTGACGCTAAAGAAAGGAGTCGGAGAGTTTCTTCCCAAGCGGAGATTTCCAATTTTGGAACAACGGTTGCGCAATGAAAGATACCTGAGTAGAACTTTTCCGGAATAAACTTCACACCACAGCGCGAATTGGTGGAAATCTTGTCTTCGGTCAGCAAGGTTGACATTTGACAGAAGAATCAAAGTTCGCGAAAATCTTGAGTCATTTCTCCAAAATTCTTTTTGAATTGCTTCCAATAATTTTCTTCTTATCTACCTCTTCAACAAAAAACCTAAAAACCTATGTGCTAATTACAGCTCATTACCAGCCATGAAACACTGGGGCGGTCTCAGTCCAGCTTTGAATTTTTGCGACAAGCTCCTGTTGATCACCGGTCAAACTCTAGTATATTTAAAGGCAAAAAATGTGGCAGGCGTTACCATCACTAATTCTCTTTTCCCTCTTAGGTAATGATAGTAATTGCATAGTTACAATAATATATCGGAAATGAACAGCGTGATTCTGAACATATCATGCGATTATTTATAAGATTTACGACTGGAGATTCGAGCTCACAATAGTGTCGAGACTAGTACTCGTGCAGAGCGGCGGTGGTGGTCTGGGCATGTCCACTGGCACAGTCTCGCTCGAACACGAACAGGCGTTCATCGAAGCCGCCGATGGAGCGCAAGTTGGTAGTGGTGGCGATGGCTCCGGCTGCAATAATCTACGTATGGTCAGTACCAGCTATAAACTGTATTCTACTCTCAGAAATCTATAAAATAACAGAAACCTAACCGACTTTGTAAAAATAAGCTGTATTCGATAGTTCTTTAGCATCTGGTGGAAGAAATAAATCTAACATAGGGAAACCGGCAATCATGATCGTCAATAACTATTCTTCGTAAAGGAAAAAACTAAGCAGTTTCATTCTTATCGAAATGAGATCGACCATTAAAGGGCAAACTGGAATTCTAGTACATTTCACCACGAACTATTCACAAGAATGCATTGATTCGACGTTTTGTATTGGTAAAAAACCAATGCGATAAGATTTTTCTTTTATCAGCTGTTCTTTACACTTTAACCGCTTATCTCATTCGATCCATTCACTCCTTTATTGATTATTCTTTTAATGGGCATCTACCAGTGTATTAAATAAAAAACTAAATTACATATCTCAGTACAATAAGGGCTCTCCTTCGTGCGTCAGGTCATAGGCTCGTTTCTGAATGAAACAAATCGAACCCCCTCCCTGCCCGTTAGGCTCAACCGAATGGACAATAAATTCGCTACGAAACAGCCACGTATTAAGTTGTCGTTATTTGGTTGCCATTCGCAGTCGGTTCGTGTAATTATGTAGAACATCCCCTACAAATTCAATGTGAGATACGCGAGACATTTAAAATTAATATTAGACGTTATCGTTCTCTCTATTGGTTTCTATGAAGTCCACGAGCTATCCATCAACCTAAGTGAACAGCGAACTAGAGGTTCAATTGATTAGAAAGCGGAAACGGCTCTGAAGATGACGAATTCGCCGAAACGTTAGCTATTGAAAAGGAGGAACTAATATCAGCTCACCAGACAAATCGCGAGAAGAAAAGATGACTTGTTTGTTAATGAAAAAAATTGATGGGGAGCTGGTCATTCTGACTAATTTATGAAGTTCATCGTTGCTTTCAAAATAAACGAAAAATCAGCAAATACCTGACACAAGTCGAGAGCAGCGATAGTGTCACGTTTGTCGAGTTCGTTGAGAGTATTCTGATCCGGCCGTAGTATCACATCTTCGACAGCTCGTTTCAAATCACCTAAACAAAAAAAAAAACTTTATCCACTGTGTCAACTTTTTTACTTATTGCCTACTACAATTTTCATGGCAGGGTAGTACGTGCGATACAAACAAAATGATGCTGAGATATTTTCAAAACTCCGGACGGCAGGTGTCTGCGGTGGGGAACGAACGCGCTATTACCCTTTCCGCGGAGCAAACGTGTTCACCAGGATGCCATGCGGGTCCTTCGTTTCCCCTGTCTCTCAGTGACCGGGTTCGTTGCCGATTCGGGCTACCCAGATCAATCCCGCTGACGGGTGATTGCTAATGGCAGTGATCGACAGAACTAGCTGAGAGACAGGCGAAACGAAGGACCCGCATGGCGTGGTGATGAATGCGTTAGCCCCCGGAAAGGGTAGTTGCGTTTTCGTTCACCACAGTAGACACCCGCGGTCTGGAGTTCTGCAAATATCTAAATATCTTAGCATCACGGTGGTTTTATTGTTTCCATATCACTGATTATATCGAGGAAAAGTCTTCTAATTAATGTATAAAAAACAACGAGAGATAAAACCAAATGATATCATTGCAAAAATACTGTACTACTCGCTTTCTACGGCACCTCCTACATATTGAATTACAGATAATAAAACCATAGAGAAACAGTGACTATTTGCAGAGGATGACAACCCATCAAATAGGCGAGTGTTATTTCAAACCTGCTTCCGATGCTGACATTTAACGCAGTCATTTCTCTTCGCGTTTTTATTTTGGCCTGTGGTAAAATTTCAGTTCCCGAATTCTGCTGATCTATGTTAAACAACTATTGTTTTCTATCGCCAAGGATGTGTTTGTCAATGTAAAACACAAAATGACATTTCCCTTATTCATTTCCGCTTTGATTGACGTTGACTTTAACGCTAGAAAACAACAAAATAAAATCCCGTTAACGGATGATTGCTGATAGCACCGATGGAGTTCACACGGCTGAGAGAAAGGCAAAGGCAGCGCTTCGGTTGGTGTAATAGATAACACGTGAGTCCTCGGATAGGGTTGATTGCGTGTTCGAAACGCATCTCAGCTTATGAGTTTAACTCATATCTCAGTATCATTAATGATATAAAGAAAAAACGCTCCACCTATTCTCATAGTGAACGTCGCCGGTGCCTCCAGCGTTGCGCTCTTGTCTGATTCGCACCCTTTGGCGCACCACCAAGACTCGATCGGCCCGAATGTATGGCGACTAATTGGCGCCAGTATATGCTTGATTTTTTACGGGGAAACTCTGTAAATCAGTCACAAGTTGTTGCTGTTTTTTGGAAAAAAAAAGCGATGAAAAGAAAAGAACACGACTGAGGACATAAAACGGAAGCAGTGCGGAAAAAAAACGGAAAGTCGTTGGAATAGAAAAGTCCGCTAGTAGCAGCCGCAGTTGTAGAAACATGAAAGGTTACAAGAAGAACCTAAGGCGCTTCTTTAAACCTTAATACACTAAAAAAAAAGTGATTGCACAAATGCGGATGATGTTAAAAAGCCAAGAGGATTTTTTTGCAGTCGTAAAAAAGGATAACAAATAAGCAGACGATGAGAAGATTCTTCATAGATCGGTGCTTAATTTCTTTAAAAAAAAAATGATGAGAAACCAATCAGAGAAAAAATTCCGGTCATGGTGTCCAATTTATTCTCTAAAGTCTTTACCAGTAACCCTTCATCGCCTGACGGACATTAAAAGACCTTCGCTCAATCCACAGCCCTCGTTTCGCTCGCTCCCAGACAGTTGAAGTATGAAGTTTAGTTTTTTTGGTGTTCTTTGATTCGAACACTGAACTGATGCCAATATATCGTTCTAACGTAAACAGAATTCCTCAGAACCTCTAATTTACCTAAAAACACTTGTTAAGCTAAACCGCAATATTACCAGCAGACTCGAAAACAATGAACGACATTGTCTAATAGAGAAGAGCAATGAAAGACACTTGATGAAAAGACGTCTACTGAATCGCACATTTCACCTGACACATGCAATCTTATAAACTATTCACTGACTTGAGTAGACAACAGCAAAGTATGCATTTACTCTTATGATTAATCCATATGATTGCGCAAGCATATACATGCAAATCAATAGACGTAGCGTAGCGGTTAGATTTGCTGTGCACTTGACAACTGGTCGTTGGTTCGATCTTTTGCCCCCGGTAAAATAACTCCTCCATACTTCCGCAGTCGTCACAATGGTTAAAAAAATTACCCAGGAGGATAAACATATTGACTTATAGTTCCCAGGATCGACTTTCTCCTAACCTCGGCATTGGAATATGAATGTGTCGTTTCGTCAACCACATGCGACTATAATCAGCTGTTCTAAACTTCTTCATTGGAAGTCACGAAAAAACGGCTCTGAAGAAGGCGATACTGCCGAAACGTCAGCTAGCGTTGTATTGTATTGTGTTTTTTATGGAAGTAAATGTGTGCTGTTTAAAAACCTCGCGATTGCTGAACAAGAAAACGACACATTCATATTCCAATGCCGAGGTTANTAACCTCGGCATTGGAATATGAATGTGTCGTTTTCTTGTTCAGCAATCGCGAGGTTTTTAAACAGCACACATTTACTTCCATAAAAAACACAATACAATACAACGCTAGCTGACGTTTCGGCAGTATCGCCTTCTTCAGAGCCGTTTTTTCGTGACTTCCAATGAAGAAGTTTAGAACAGCTGATTATAGTCGCATGTGGTTGACGACCATCTTCTGTCTTAGTGACAATGCTTCCTTCACAAGTCGAAAGTATTTTGCTGGTACATCATGTAATAAAAGTAAAAGTTCCCAGGATCGACTTTCTCTTAACCTCGGCATTGGAATATGAATGTGTCGTTTCGTCAACCACATGCGACTATAATCAGCTGTTCTAAACTTCCTCATTGGAAGTCACGAAAAAGCGGCTCTGAAGAAGGCGATACTGCCGAAACGTCAGCTAGCGTTGTATTATATTGTGTTTTTCTATGGAAGTAAATGTATGCTGTTTAAAAACCTCGCGATTACTGAACAAGAAAACGACACATTCGTATTGACTTATTTCATCTGTAGGTCACCGGGAATCATTTTATGAGTAAATATTCATTAAATCATGTCTTAAGATGTTTGATGGAGCCGAATGGATGGTGTGCATTCCTAATGGACACCAAATGCTTTGTCCTCTATTGTTCACATGCATCAAACGTAACGTTATTCGGTCGTAGCAGAAATAATGAGTTCTCATCCGCTAAATTCACTTGGGATAAATAGATGGTCATTTTAGGTTCGCCTTTACTTCTCTATTCAGCAATCAAGGGATGCACCATGTGAGTTCTCAACTAAGCAGAAGCTCTAGCTCTTTCCCGTGCTGAAGATCCGTGACAGATGAATCAGACTGTTAAACAAAAACACTTTTATGATAATGTCTAATCACAGCTGATAAAAAGGTCCTGCATCATTTTACTTGGATGCTTACTTGGATGGCTCGTCTTCACAGGTTATGCGGACCCCAGCATAAATTCCATTTCTTCGGAATTTTGTTGGTCTAGTCATTGTAGTTCCCTGGAGGACCGAGCTCAGCCTAGCAAAAGTCTGCTCCAGGTCGTCACAACTACAGGCAGTCGTATCCCTTGTGGATCAGAGGGAGATTTGCCACCATGCGACTATTTTGCTACCAGGACGGTGGTGGATCTAGTATTGGTTTACTCTTACCTGGGCTTCCTGATGGAAACGCAAGACTCCTCAGCTTGGAAGGTTCTGCTGGAGGGACGAATCCTCTGCTCTGCATCGCAAATCCATAGCCAGGAACACCTCCCAGCCAAGATTAAGCAGTGAGTAGTTGGGAAGTGTGCCATTTTAACATTTTTAAAAAAAACATTTCCAAATTCTGCCAATTATTCTTAAGGGTATCATTCTTCCTTTTCCTTTCTGGAATGAAAATATCCTCAACGGTTACCCATTTGTACATCGATCCACGTTTGCGATGAGATACTCGAATATTCGTCGCTAGTGGAAAGAATGGATACGGATTAGCATAAAAACCACTTAAGTATTTGGTAGAACTACCATTTATGTATTCACATATCGACAAAGAAACTTCCCTACTTCAGAATATTACGGTAAGGTCAGTATCAACTGTAAGCACCATTTACGATAATTGAAACGTCGCGCAACTATTTTTCCCTTAAGCGCTTCGAGCGCTAATTCTATAAGATCGACAGCGTGAATGATACAAAGGCAAACTTCTTAGAAAGAGTAAAAAATAAAGTTTACTTGTTATTTATAAATAAACAAATAAACGGCTTTTATACCTTACATGACCCGTCATCACATCTACTGCGTAGATCCCAATACTTGCGTTCGATTCGTTTTCCTCGCATCCATCACCCACGAAAATCTTCGAACATTTCGCTGCTTGAGGATTTCGACTTCGTTATGTCTTAGAATGCCGATCGAGTCAACTCTTTTTGTAATCTTGAAGAAAGCCAAGCTAAGGCGTTCCCAGGTAGATTGGAAGATGGCCTCGGGGCGAAAATCGAACTAGCCACCTTGGCTTCCTGATCGACGGCATTACTAACCACTGCGCTATCCCCGTCTTAAAAAAAAACCGTAAACTGCCCAAATTTGAGACCAGTAATTCGCTTAAGGAGCATTCGCAATGAAGCATTAATTTTAAATCAAGGAAATAAAGCAACAGTATCACATTTTAACGAGACCAGAAAGGTAATATAAAAAATTATTGGCTTTTCCACTGTAGTAAGGATTATGAAGAACGATAATAGAAAAAAGGACAAAGCTTTCGGAGTCAATCAATCCCTGGGCGATACGCGATGCATTCGACATCACTAAGCACCGTTATAGGTGATTGAAAGCACATTTGGCCCATACAATAACTCGCGGTGGCCTAGCAATGTATCGAGCCAATACTGCCATCCTCCCAGGTAAGTCTGGTACCAATTTTCCGACACCTGAGTGAAGCAAGGCTTGTTAAATTAACCACAAAACAACGATAAGTTAAAGGTAAAATAACCATAAATAAAAATGTTCGCATCATTGTGCTTCTAACACCGGAACAGGAGGAGTTTCAAAGTTTACATCAATGCAGTTCATCAAACATCGCACTAAGTCACAGCGCAGATGACGCGAAATTTAACTTTAAAACAAAAAAAACTATCCTGGGATATTGAGACCCATCCAGAGACCAATCTTCACGTCCAACGAATTCTCGTTTTCAGAAATTAGAAATGAGATAGCGTCATCGCGTGACGAAATGTACCAATAGTTTTCAAATCAACTTCTACAACGATAGTTGTATGGACTTTTAGAAGACATGCGATGATTTCTGACATCAAATCCATACAATTTTTTCCAATATTTGTCACTACTCAGTGAAATGAATCATATAAACGAAGGAAGTTGTATAACAAGCTGAAATGTGAGTGTGAGGGAATCACGAGGAAAGGCCGTAAGGCTGATTGGGATAGACATCAGACGGCACATGGCTGAAGTGAGAGAGCGCAGCCGAGTTGTGGCTATTTTAGACGGGGAATAGCGGCATGCGATGATCAGATGACGACGACGACGACGACAATGAGCATCGGTAAGACACGATGAAGCGATGACCATGGCGATACTGAGAATCGGAAAAACGC